CATATGCATATAAAACATATATCAACGCTAACATGCAAATGATTTATAAAATAACGACTTTATTAGACAGGCAAACAATATTATAAACACGTCCATTCACCCGCAAGATAACAAGGAAAACTGAAAAAAAATTTCTACGAAACTACAAACATGTAGAAACGTTTCTAGGACGATGGTTCTTGTTTGCAAGATTGTTTACAAATGGCGACCACTGATTCAAAGTCAACTGTTTCTGGTTAGTAAACTAGTTTTCGGGGTTTACATAATTTGTTTTCTGGCTTCCCAGGTCGAACCAGCCTAGGTTGGGGTCGCAATAAATGTTCTTCGGAGTAAAGGCTACTGGTGTTGTACTGACCACATGACCAGCCGTGCCCGAGGAAGTTTCAGACCGGCTCTCTGTGTTTAGGGGCAAACGAGAGCATGAGGGTTCAAAGCAAGAGCGAATGGACGTCGCTTGGTGCAGCAGGGCCTGGCATATGATATCACAACGTCTAGTCTGAGAATGGAGGTGGAGGCAGTCACTGCTGCCTTCCGCTGGCTTGAGAATCAGCTGTACACTCATGTCGTGATTGTAACTGACTCACGCATGTTGAGGCAGGTGGAGACAAGTATGGTCCGTGCAGAATGGCAAGCATTACTTCAGAGGTCCTGGGTAGTTAACATCCTTTGGATATATTCCTATGCTGATGTGTTGGGAAATGAGCAGGCAGATAGACTGGCTGGTTCTGCACCACTTGGGGGTGAACTGATGTCAGACAAGCTGGATGTTGTGAGGGCCCTCTGGGAGCAAGTGAACAGTGCAGAAGCGCAAATAGATCATTACAATCTGAGGAGAATGGTGCTGCAGGGAGTTACCAGGGGATCTGGCTGATGCTCAACACTCAAGGGAAAGGCGAGATGGATATACAGTCAGAAAGTTACTTGTGTCATCGGAATTGGAACTCTTCTCTGCTGAAGATGGGGGACAGAGTGCTTATGGGAGTGTCCCGAGTGCTATCATATCAATTTCTTTTTCAACATTCAACATCCAGCTGAGTTTCTTAACTCTTTGGAAATGGAGCTTGTTTAGAGCTTCAATGCCAAGAAGACATGTTTAATAACATATACAAAACTATATATGTTCGTTTAGAAAATGAAATAAACTAACACTGTCTTTATGAATCAGACTGTCGTCTCAGTATTTATTCAAAGTGGTTATTGAATTTGCATATATATGCATGCATTTTTTTTTATTATTTGGGACAACCATGACTAAATTGAATAATTTAGCTAATTTTTCTGATGAATAAAGCCTGAATAAGACCGAACACTTGTGTTTTGGGAAGCAAGGCCCATGAAGGCCCTCCAGACATATATGGCACATGGTTCTGCTCCTTTTGCTGGCTGTTACTTTAAGATATTTCAGTTGCCATGGTGCAATAGTCCTTTTCACCATTGTTAGGCACAGTTTACTCCCCACCAAAGAAAAAATAGATGTAAAATTACTTGATGCAACAAACTTTCACAAAAGTTGCCATTGAACAGCCAACATGTTCAAGAAATGGGAGAAGTAATCTGATTAGCTGGTCTAGTAACCAGCCAGCCATATTCAAGGCCTATATTACTAGGCCGACAAATTGTTCAATCCATCTTTTTGGCTACTTTGATGTTGGGCCAATAGATCAGCCCAATCGTCCCCAAAGGGTTAACTGTAACTTGTTGGTTTCTGCACATAGACATTAGCAACCATTTATCACTATGTTCATGACAATAAGACCTTACAGAATAAACAGTTAATGAGAGAATAAAAAGTAATGTTGACATATTTTAATACATTCATGCATATTAAACTGTCATAGGGTCATTAGTGTACAGATCGCAGTGCCATCTGCTGCCAGTAATAAGTGTAAAAACAATTGGCTATTGCATCATAAGATTTTAGCATCTAGTTTTGATACATTTTTCAGCAACTTAAGCAATTGAGACTTTTCAAATACATGTTGAAATGAATGCTGAGTTAAGCTATAAAGGATTTAACATTTTCTGGGGATACATAATAAATGATAATATATTAATCTCCCATGGTTGATGTGGCTGTTTCTGCCATTACAATTAGCCATTGCTGCCACTGATTACACTACACTACGATTTAAGAATTGAGTGTAGAGACATTTTCAACAACTCACCTAGTTAAAACTTTCCAGATACATGCTTAAATAAAATCTGAATTAAACTGTAAAATTTAACATTGTCTGGGATGCATAATGTATGAAAATATATTAAGCGATTTCAGTTCATTACAATTCCCAGCGTTGTTTACTGCCATTCATATTCAATTGGCTAGTGCAGCCATATGCCACAACACAATTTAAGAATTTAGTGAAGAAACCTTTTCACTCAATCAGCAATCAAAATTTTCTAAACACACGTTAACATGAATGTAGTATCTTCTTTCACAGGCATTGCTATTGTGTGCAACTCTATAATGCATTAAAACATTTAAAGTCCTTTGTCGTCGGTTGGAACAATCCATGACTCCATTTCCTGCCATTGCATTGCCATGCTGCAGCAAATGACATGGGAATTGTTTGTAGAGAACCTTTTCATCAGCCCTGGAAGTTATAACTTTTTTTGCCTTTTTTATTTTATAAAGAATAACATTGTCTGCAAGCTAGTAAAAAGTTATTTAAGTTTTACTTATCTCTGAGAAGGACAACAGAAATCTCTCGATACACGTACAGTATAACAGCCCACACAACTGATAATTTAGCTAAGCAAGCTAACAAAAGTTAGTCATCAATTCTGGTTATATTTCGATATTGAACGAATGGGAAAATTTTTACCTAACATACACTTGTCAGGTGAATTTTATGATGCACCTTTTATTTCTTCAATAGGGGGTGCTATGTGTCCTTGGCAGCCATTAGTGTACATTATCAACACAGTAGCTACTTTCATAAACATAGGACTAGGGTCTAACCACTGTCCACAGACAAAACTGCCTGCCACCCAGAAATAACAATATATGATGAAGAAACTTAAAATGTCACAAACTGAATGTTTAGGCTTTGTAATAAACAGCAATGGTGACTGTTCAATAGAAGTGAAAAGGAGGATGGCCATAGCAATACAAAGATTAAACAGCATTAAAAGTATATGGTTAAGCACCATCAAGGAAATCAAACTTACAATTTACAGAGCATACATCTTCCCTGTAGCAACATACGAATGTGAGCCATGGACTATCTCCCAGTCCTTAGGGAAGAGAATAGGAGATTTTGAGCTGAAATGCTTTAGAAAGAATCTCAGAATACCCTGGATATAGAATAAATACTGACATTTTAACAGATCTGAACATCAAGGAAGATTGGCTAATAAACAGCATCTTGTCTCAGATGCTGAAATATTTTCACCATATAAAGTGCTATGACGGATTGGAAAAATTATTGACAGGAAGCATGGAACCAGGAAGGAGGGGCTGACCAGTGCAAAGATGGGTAGGCAGACCATGATGAGAATGATGTTCTGCAAATGACCTGCTACATGATGATGATGAGCAACTAGCCCCCAAAAAAAGAGAGCTATTTAGACCTGTTGTATAAGGATTGCTTCCAGCATTACTTCTGTTTTTACTAATGCAAAAGTAAAACGTGGCAGGCACCAGCTACCCCAAGTTAAAGGTGGTATTTTTAAAAAAAAAAAATGGTTTGTATTTATTCTTATCCACAGGTGTTTTCTCGGTGCACAAGGTGTATGCTAAGGTAAATAATGATGGGCTGGGTCCGAAGACAATGGGTGGAGTCTTCTGAGGCAATCAGGGCTGAAAAATATCAGTTTCAATTTCATGCCAGGATATGCAAGGAAATGAGCAAGCTGTTAGGCTACTGTACATTGCACAGCAATCAGACAGGAGTGTCCATATGTGAAATCCCATTACTCAGAGAGCTAGACGGAGTATACATATATGAAATCCCGTTACTCAGAGAGCTAGACAGAGTATACATATATGAAATCCCGTTACTCAGAGAGCTAGACAGAGTATACATATATGAAATCCCATTACTCAGAGAGCTAGACGGAGTATACATATATGAAATCCCGTTACTCAGAGAGCTAGACAGAGTATACATATATGAAATCCCGTTACTCAGAGAGCTAGACGGAGTATACATCTATGAAATCCCATTACTCAGAGAGCTAGACGGAGTATACATATATGAAATCTCGTTACTCATAAAGCTAAACAGAGTATACATATATGAAATCCCATTACTCAGAGAGCTAGACAGAGTATACATATATGAAATCCCGTTACTCAGAGAGCTAGACAGAATATACGTATTTGAAATCCCATTACTCAGAGAGCTAGACAGAATATACGTATATGAAATCCCGTTGCTCAGAGAGCTAGACAGAATATACGTATATGAAATCCCGTTACTCAGAGAGCTAGACAGAATATACGTATATGAAATCCCATTACTCAGAGAGCTAGACAGAATATACGTATATGAAATCCCGTTACTCAGAGAGCTAGACAGAATATACATATTTGAAATCCCGTTACTCAGAGAGCTAGACAGAATATACGTATATGAAATCCCGTTACTCAGAGAGCTAGACAGAATATACATATATGAAATCCCGTTACTCAAAGATCAGGTAGGAGTGTACACATATGAAATTCCATGACTCAGAGAGCTGGAGAGAGTATCCATATATGAAATCCCAATTCTCAGAAAGGAATATATATTCTTTGAATCCGTATTTTTATTTTACATATACTAAAAATTCCTGATGTTAGATAAACACTCAAATTAGAAAGACTGAGTTGAGGTGAGTTGAAAACCAACATCACAGCATTCGGGACATTCCCATAAGCTCTCCGTCTGCATCTATTGCTGGTGGTACCAGATCCCTTGTCACTCGCATAAATGATTGTTTCCTGTCAAATTCTACTATTTACTTGATGAACATACAGTTTGTACTTGATGAACATGCAGTTTGTTTTTTTTCACCAGAAGGAATTATTACACAACAATTTCTAAAATTGAGAAGCGGAGAGTTTGATGTGCAAAGCATCCATACGATATCGTTGACCCATTCAGGTTTGAGAATAGGAGCTAATTACATGTTTGTTTTGTTTTGTGCAAGTCATATTCTAGTTTTGTAAAGAAGGAATAATCCTAGAATAATTACAAGCGGTTCACTGTGAAGATTCAACTCTGACCACTACGTTGTTAGGGAGCTGCCGTTGTGTAGCATCTAGATGTTTACCTGTGAATCCGAACGTCACGAGTTCAAATCCAGATGGTGCTAGTCCACCCCCCCCCCCCCTCCCCAAATGATCTTGGCTCCTAGGATAACCCTGCCTTAAATGGGTACCAGGTAAAAGTCCTGAAAATTCAAGGTGAGTAGCGTGATGCTGAACACATCACTCACCAGATGCTGAATACATCACTCACCAGATGCTGAACAGATCACTTCCCAGATGCTGAACAGATCACTTCCCAGATGCTGAACACATCACTCACCAGATGCTGAACAGATCACTTCCCAGATGCTGAACACATCACTCACCAGATGCTGAACAGATCACTTCCCAGATGCTGACACATCACTTCCAAGATACTGAACACATCACTTCTCAGATGCTGAACACATCACTCACCAGATGCTGAACACATCACTTCACAGATGCTGAACACATCACTCACCAGGTGCTGAAAACATCACTCACCAGATGCTGAACACATCACTCACCAGATGCTGACACATCACTCACCAGATGCTGAATACATCACTCACCAGATGTTGAATACATCACTCACCAGATGCTGACACATCACTCACCAAATGCTGACACATCACTCACCAGATGCTAAACACACCACTCACCAAATGCTGACACATCACTCACCAGATGCTGAACACATCACTTCCCAGATGCTGACACATGACTCACCAAATGCTGACACATCACTCACCAGATACTGACACATCACTCACCAGATGCTAAACACACCACTCACCAAATGCTGACACATCACTCACCAGATGCTGACACATCACTCACCAAATGCTGACACATCACTCACCAGATGCTAAACACATCACTCACCAAATGCTGACACATCACTCACCAGATGCTGACACATCACTCACCAAATGCTGACACATCACTCACCAGATGCTAAACACACCACTCACCAAATGCTGACACATCACTCACCAGATGCTGAACACATCACTTCCCAGATGCTGACACATCACTCACCAAATGCTGACACATCACTCACCAGATACTGACACATCACTCATGAGATGCTGAACACATCACTCACCAGATGCCCACTGATCTGTAAAATATAGTTCTAGCCCTGTACGCACATTATGCCTGAAGGTGTGGGAAAGGGTCCTTTTACTACTTTGATAAGCTTAGTGTGCTGCATACTAGGCAGCTGTGACTGGTCAAGCCTCAGTGTGCTGCATACTAGGCAGCTGTGACTGGTCAAGCCTCAGTGTGCTGCATACTAGGCAGCTGTGACTGGTCAAGCCTCAGTGTGCTGCATACTAGGCAGCTGTGACTGGTCAAGCCTCAGTGTGCTGCATACTAGGCAGCTGTGACTGGTCAAGCCTCAGTGTGCTGCATACTAGGCAGCTGTGACTGGTCAAGCCTCAGTGTGCTGCATACTAGGCAGCTGTGACTGGTCAAGCCTCAGTGTGCTGCATACTAGGCAGCTGTGACTGGTCAAGCCTCAGTGTGCTGCATACTAGGCAGCTGTGACTGGTCAAGCCTCAGTGTGCTGCATACTAGGCAGCTGTGACTGGTCAAGCCTCAGTGTGCTGCATACTAGGCAGCTGTGACTGGTCAAGCCTCAGTTTGCTGCATACTAGGCAGCTGTGACTGGTCAAGCCTCAGTGTGCTGCTTTGACTGGTCAAGCAACAAGTTGAACTGACACCACTGAAAGCAAGGGCAGATTACCACTTTATCTGCTCCACCACACAGCAAATCCTACAAGGGGCAGGAGAAATAGAAAGGATGGAGGATCTTTTTGACAGACTGTGGTGCGAGTGAAATGCAGTTAAGGACATTACATAATGAAGGTAAATGCAGTACAGGACATCAAATAATAAAGGGAAATCCAGTATAGAACATCACATAATGAAGGGAAATCCAGTATAGAACATTACATAATGAAGGGAAATGCAGTATAGAACATCTCATAATGAAGGGAAATGCAGTATAGAACATTACATAATGAAGGGAAATGCAGTATCGAACATTACATAATGAAGGGAAATGCAGTATAGAACATTACATAATAAAGGGAAATCCAGTATAGAACATCACATAATGAAGGGAAATGCAGTATAGAACATTATATCATGACTGGTTTCTAGGCATCATTTATTTCTTCAACGCTGCTGTAATAGACACTTTATAGTGAGAATCAACTCTGCTGTAATAGACACTTTATGTTGAGTACCAACACTCCTGTAATAGACACTTTATGGTGAGCATCAACGCTGCGCTAGTAGACACTTTATGGTGAGAACCAACGCTGCTGTAATAGACACTTATCGTGAGTACCAATGCTTCTGTAATAGACACTTTATGGTGAGTACCAACGCTGCAGTAATAGACACTTTATGGTGAGAACCAACGCTGCAGTAATAGACACTTTATGGTGAGAACCAACGCTGCTGTAATAGACACTTATGGTGAGTACCAATGCTCCTGTAATAGACACTTATGGTGAGTACCAACACCTGTTTAAGACAGTGGTAAGTGCCAGCACGGTTTTTTTCCTAGGGGAAAATATCACCACACAAAACAAATTCTTTAACTAGCAACTGATCCATACTGTATGACTAGGGAACCTTAATTTTGTGACTTTGTTCTCACTGACATTGTTTTATCCAATCTTAGTCTTGTAGTTAAATTTATAAAAAGCAGCCGTAGAAGTATGACAGAGCAGTTTATTTACCATCATAATATTGAAACTTGTGTGGATAATGTTTGCTGTTGTCTGTAGATATCTGTGACCTGATCAGATGTGTGTGGAGAATGTTTTTGCCCTTGTCTGTAGATATCTGTGATGTGGATAATGTTTTTGCTGTTGTCTGTAGATATCTGTGATGTGGATAAAGTTTGCCCTTGTCTGTAGATATCTGTGATGTGGATAATGTTTGCTGTTATCTGTAGATATCTGTGATGTGGATAATGTTTGCTGTTATCTGTAGATAACTGTGATGTAGATAATGTTTGCTGTTATCTGTAGATATCTGTGATGTGGATAATGTTTGCTGTTATCTGTAGATATCTGTGATGTAGATAATGTTTGCTGTTATCTGTAGATATCTGTGATGTGGATAATGTTTGCTGTTATCTGTAGATATCTGTGATGTAGATAATGTTTGCCCTTGTCTGTAGATATCTGTGATGAGGATAATGTTTGCCATTGTCTGTAGATATCTGTGATGTAGATAATGTTTGCCATTGTCTGTAGATATCTGTGATGTGGATAATGTTTGCCCTTGTCTATAGATATCTGTGATGTGGATAATGTTTGCCCTTGTCTGTAGATATCTGTGATGTGGATAATGTTTGCTGTTATCTGTAGATATCTGTGATGTAGATAATGTTTTCTGTTATCTGTAGATATCTGTGATGTGGATAATGTTTGCTGTTATCTGTAGATATCTGTGATGTGGATAATGTTTGCTGTTATCTGTAGATATCTATCACGTGGATAATGTTTGCTGTTATCTGTAGATATCTGTGATGTGGATAATGTTTGCCGTTGTCTGAAGATATCTATCATGTGGATAATGTTTGCTGTTATCTGTAGATATCTGTGATGTGGATAATGTTTGCCGTTGTCTATAGATATCTGTGATGTGGATAATGTTTGCCCTTGTCTGTAGATATCTGTGATGTGGATAATGTTTGCTGTTATCTGTAAATATCTGTAATGTGGATAATGTTTGCTGTCGTCTGTAGCTGTTTGTGACCTGATCAGATGTGTGTGGATAATGTTTTTGCTGTTGTCTGTAGATTTCTGTGATGTGGATTATGTTTGCTGTTTTCTGTAGATATCTGTAATGTGGATAATGTTTGCTGTTGTCTGTAGATATCTGTGACCTGATCAGATGTGTGTGGATAATGTTTTTGCTGTTGTCTGTAGATATCTGTGATGTGGATAATGTTTTTGCTGTTGTCTGTAGATATCTGTGATGTGTATAGGATTATGTTTGCTGTTGTCTGTAGATATCTGTAATGTGGATTATGTTTGCTGTTGTCTGTAGATATCTGTGACCTGATCAGATGTGTGTGGATAATGTTTTTGCTGTTGTCTGTAGATATCTGTGACCTGGGCTGTATCGGAGAGTGTACAAGTCTGGAGAGGCTGGATCTGTCCTACAACAACATCAGTCACCTTCAGAAACTTTCAACAGCCACATCACTGACAGTGCTCAACTTGTCTGCAAACAGAATCACAAGTTTGGGTAGGTCTGGATTCTCAAACTGTAAAATAGGAGTGACAAAAGTGAGATGTTTTGGTATGTCCCAGTTACTAGGATCAACTCAGCATTTGTGCAGTAATCATTTATTGCTAATGTAGTCACATTTCGCTGTAACATTGACTATATTTCACATATAGATCAGATGGTCATGGGTTTGAGTCTTGACAGGAGGCGGATGTTTTATCAAAAATGACTTGGCTGTCAGGTCAACCCAGCCTTGAGTGGGTACTAGGTACAGTCCTGGGAAGTAAAGGCGGATGGCATAATGCTTACTACATCCCCCACCAAGTGCCGATTGCTCTATAAAATTTAGGTGTAGAACATCACACTGAGCGATTAACACACAGTGACAGAAGGTGCCACCGTTCATATTAGGATCACTTGTAGACAAGTTCTAGAAAACCTGTTTAACCCATAGGTTGGATTATAATAGGGCCCCTGGCAACAGCCAGGGTGGGGCTTTAAAACCCCCCAAAAATTGTGTCCGGCATTGAGACATATTTAAGACATTGGTTGAAATAGTCTTACTTATGTTTTACCCCACCATGATATCACACCAAGTGATAAACACCCAGTGCCACCATGTGGATGAAGATCACCCGTAGAGAGGTCCCATAAACCGCGTTTAGCCATTAGACCATATTTATGGTCCGGCTGTGTTGCGGTCCCTGGCAAGAGCCAAGGTGGGGCTTCAAAATAACAAAAAATTGCATTCCACAAGGGGATAATACTTTATATTTTTGTTAAAGTTATGGCAGCTATATGTCTGTTTAGCTGTTCTCCTTTCTCCCTTACATGTAACTTTTATTTGCATAATACATCATCATCATCATAAAGCAGATCCTTTGCACACTGTTGCTCTTGTCATGGTATGTTGGAAAGCCACTTAGTGTCTCGCCAGCTTTCCTGGTGAACATTCGAGCTCAGGGCAGTCTTGATGTATTTCTCTACTGTTGTGCTAGTTTTCCCCCTTTACATTTTTTCCTTGAACTTTGCCTTCCATCGCGAGCTGCTGTGGTGTAGTGGATCGACTCTCACTTGCACATTTGGAGGTCATGGGTTCAATTCTGCACTTTGCAAGATTTTTTTGTCTAAACATGACCTTGACTCCAAGTTTCACACAGCCTTAAATGGGTACGTTGCATTCTTGGAAGTAAAGGCGGCTGCATAATATTGACCATATGCCCCCTTCAATGGTCTTTTGATCTATAGAAATATGAGTCTGGCCTCAAATACAGCCGGCATGTAAAGGCACTTCACTGATACCTTTCTTTTCTCTTTTCCCCAAACCATTATGGTGTTTAATATGGCTGACGTGTTTCAGTTTCTGAGAAAGGATACCGTCTACATGCCACTTCTCCTTGGTGATCAGATGCTGAAGAGTATTTCAGAATTAAATATTTTATTGGCATATCTGTTTGTTTAGATGGCCTGCAGATGCTAGAGAATCTGGAGAATTTGAATATTTGTGGAAATCTTCTTGGCAGGTGAGCATCCATTTTTAATTGTTTTCTTGTGTTTAATTAGAAAGTGAGAAAACACCATACGCACCATCTTGAACTTGGTGGACAAAAGCAAGTGTGCTGTAAAAGTGCAGAAAGTAGTCAAAAAGAAGGTTAATGTTTGCACTTAAGGCTCTTTGCTTCCAGGATATCTCAACTTCTGGTCATTGATGGCTAAACTAAAGAGGTACTATTCATACCATGATGGTTGTTGTAAATATGTATTGAACAATTATGATTTGATAGATGATGTTGTTTGCATCGCATCAACCATCTTAACTTTTCAGGAGATTTTCTGTTATTTATTTTTAACCTAAATTGACCTGAAGCCCTGACCTCCCTCTCTCTCTCTCTCTCTCTCTCTCTCTCTCTCTCTCTCTCTCTCTCTCTCTCTCTCTCTCTCTCTCTCTCTCTCTCTCTCTCTCTCTCTCTCTCTCTCTCTCTCTCTCACACACACACACACACACTCACTCACTCATTCACTCACTCTCTCACACACTCACTCACTCACACACTCACTCAATCGATCAATCAAATAAATCAATCCTGTCTTGAAACAGATGACTACTGAGTTGGCATGCTTGCTAGCTAATGTGTGACTGTGGCTTCCTGTGTCTGAAGTAGGCTATGGAAAAAAGTTTTTTTTTGTTTTTTCAAGTAATATTAAATTTCAGTTTTTTGTTTGTTTTGTATCCAGTTTATAACTTTATGTTATACTCTATTTTTACTTTGTGACATTTTGTTATGTTTGTTTTATTTTAATTTGATCTGTTATTTTAGTTTGACTATTCTTGTTTAGGTAGGAAATATTAGTGATTGCTTTTACACCTTGTCTTCTCTCAGTTTAGTCCCTGCCATGAATGATTGAAAGTAAATGTATCTAGACTAATGTTTATCTCTCTAGATATTTGTTTCATGTTGACAGCTTTTTTTTTTGCAAGCTCATCTCATTTGTTTCTACATTTAGTTGTTTGAAAGATGACATACATTTAGGAGTCTGTTCTCTTCTACAGTGTTGACGTTCTCCGAAGCATCTCATGCTTGCTGAAGCTAACCACCTTGCGACTTCATGACCCAGTTACAGGACTGACCAACCCGATGTGCAACACAAGCTACCTAGACCAGGTCCTGTTGATCCTACCATTTGTGGAGACTCTCAATGGTCAGTTTTTGCCATGTGACTAACAAGATATGAACTAGTTCAGTAGCAAGGACATTAATGTGTTCACTGATCCCTCCATATAACCTTTTCAACATGCAGAATATTACTGTCTCGTTGCTACCTGATTTGTAATCTTCTATGCAGTTTTTACAGCATCATCCTGGATGGCAAACTAACTGAACATACCTCAGATAACCAATTCAATCCCCAAGGAATGTACAATTATGGCTCCTCTTACAGCCACATCAAGCATGATCCTGATGTAGCCTCCCACTTTGTTTGGGTAGAGTTATAGGCGCTTATTTATATACATATGAGGGTTAGCAGTGGGGCTATTTTCATTCCATGTTGATGTAGAAGATTTGTTAATGTCATTAGTCCATATTCTCCTAGGGCGACCTCTTGCTTTCACTTCAGATGTTTTCATGTGTAGCGCCTGCATTGGTAATTGTTGTGGTTGCATTCTAACGTGATGACTAGGCCATTTGATCTTTTGTTTCTCAATGAATGTGGTGCATGCTGTCATTCCTACAGTCTGTCTGATAGTATCTTGTTTCACTTTGTCTCAGTTGGTTAAGTTGGCCACTTTCTGCAGGCATCTATGTCACAGGTAGGTTAGCATTTGATAATGACAAATTTTAACACTGCTAGTAGAGCGTTGGTATGAAAATGCTGTTTATAATTTATTTTGTGATGACCAAAATTATGTTTGGATGTCTTTATAATTCACTGTAGAACAGGCAATGATCATCTGCCAATAATAGCTGATTTGGTGTTTGTGGGTCTAATTCTTCCTCTGGAGAGTAACATTGATCATTTTCTGGGTTGACTGCTTGAAAGCTGGCTTCTTTAGGTAATCTGTTTATAAATATATATATAAATATATATATATATATATATATAAAACTGGTTTTTAACTAATTTTTGTATATTCACCCTTCATGATCGCAACAATGCAGTCTGAAAAAAACAAAAAATCCCAGATACTTTGTTCAACAATATAAATTATTTGTGCTCACGAGTGCTCCACAAATGACCCTGTTATCTTATTATTGTAAAATTTCTGACAGTTTTATCATATAATGTGCGTATGTTGTCTGTCTGTTGTTGCCTTTTGACTTGGAAGTGTAACACTCTGAGGTTACAGAATATCAGTTTAGATGACAGACTAATAGGACAGATCTCAGGTACCTCCATTAGCCTTCACAAAAGTTATAATTATGGCACCTAAACCGGCAACACCAGCCTTGTATACCCTCAGTTCCTGGTGAGGATATGATGCAGTATGTATCTGTTATAGACTAGGGCACATTACCCATTGCTGATAACCTTCTGAATAGTAGCAGACACAGGCAGTCACAGAGTAGTCTCACTGACTGACTGACTTTCTACCCCACCAGGACATCACACAAGCGATAGACACCCGATGACACAATGTGCCACCACGTGAGTGAGGATCACCGTGGAGAGGTCCCAGAAAATGCTTTCAGCTTTTAGGCCATATTTATGGCCAGGCTATATTGCGGCCCCTGGCAAGAGCCAGAGTAGGGCTTCAAATAACGAAAAATTTCATCATAAAAAGGACGTGAAGTAGTAATGTATAATGGTGAAGAGTAGTCTCACTGCCACAGTAACTACATTATCTTGTGGTACTGCAGTGCTAAATATGGCACTTTTAATGTGCATAGATACACATGATAAGTTCATTTTAAAATGAGCTGGTGTCTGATAAAATCCTCACCCACACAGTCGCAGCGACAGCACTAGCCATGCAGCTGTAAACCCTAACACTGAAAGACCGCCTTGCCTACACCGCAGAAGTGGTAAAATAAAGGCAGTAATTGGCAGATTTGGTAATGTTTTCACAGGTTCTCGGGTACGTGGCAAAGGGAGTGAACTGTTTCAGTTATGTCAGAATATGGACAAAACTATTAAAAGTGAGTAGCTTCCCTTATTTGATTGATTTAATCATGGGCCCTGTCTACTGCGAATCTGTCTAGAAGTGATCTCTTTGTCTTCTTTTGTCATATGATTAGCTGTTTAAAGCTGGCAGATATTCTTCATCATATGAGAGAATTGATTTCATTATCTTTGACAAATTTTACTTTTAAACAAACGAAATGGTCTTAAAAAGAAATAATGTTAAAAATCATCATCCCTTTGCGGAATGCAATTTTTTTGTTTTTTGAAGCTCTACTCTGGCTTTTGGCAGGTACTCTGAATATACCTGGATCACAATTGTGGCAAAAACGGCTAGAAGGGATATCTGAGACCTCTCCACAGGTGATCCTCATCGGCATGGTGGCACTTTGTGTCACCAAGTGTTTATCGTTTTTGTAATGCCCTGGTGGGGTACAACAAGCCAGCAAGCAAAATTAACTCACAGCCTTCAGAATGAACACATACAGAATGAAGCCATGATGGTAAATCTGGGATGTACAAGAGATACCCCGGTAGTATGTATGTGATATATACTAGCACTACCTACTTTTGCAGATAGGCTCAAAGTTCTGCAAGTAGCCACAGACAAAAGGCAGCTCCTGCATGAAGCTCTGGGTAGAACTAAGAGTTGCAGACTGAACAAAAGGAAGATCTTAGACAACTCAAGCTGAAGAAACAATTAGACATGTTTAGGTTTAGACGATGGATCAGCATCATGGCACAAGGGTTCTAACCCATCAGTGCTCTGTTCCACTTCTGACCCAAGCCTGAGTCCAAAGAATCTCAGCGCAGTGCATGAACTCCATAGCACCAACAATGATCCTGAAATACTTTGGTTGATTTTTAACTCCAAATTTTGCCCAGGCAGCACCGCTAGGCTACTTTTCTTCGATTTACAACAGCCAAGGGATTTTTGTACGTGTGCAACAATACACACTGGCATCCAATATTACTACCCAGAGACCAGCAGACATTACTAGTTCATATGAGAAAATCCCAGCCTTTACTAGGGCTTGAACCTGGTACCTCCAGCACTCGAGGAGAACGCAATGCCTTGAGACCACACAGCTCCCATATTATTAGACTATTATACTATTACTATTAGACTGTTAGACTCTATAGATTATTAGACATGCTTTATACATTTGAGCTAGGAGAGAAGTGGGCCAAAGTGTCCGAGCAAGTTTCAGACTTGTGTAGGATTCTAATCACTCTGGGACTTGAGTGCAGGGACTGGCCAGCTGGTGCTGCAGAATCAGAAGTTTAACAAATGATTCTTGACAATTACAGCATAGGTGATGTGATTATCTATACAAATGGCTCTGAATTGAGGGGCAGATGAAGTGCATCGGGGTTCATAGCAAAAGTGAATGCTGCTTTCTGCTGGCTTGAGAATTAGCTGTACAGACATGCCGTGATTGTAACTGACTCATAGAGTATGTTGAGAAAGGAGGAGACAGGCATGCTTCATGCAGAGTGACAAGCATCGCTTCAGAGGTCCAAGCTAGTTAGCGTCCTTTGGATTTTCTCTCCAGGTTATGCCGGTGTGTTGGAAAATGAACAGGCAGATAGACTGGCTGATTCTGCACCACTTGGTGGTGAACTGATGTATGATAAGCTAGATGTTGTGTGGGCCCTTTGGGAGTGGGTGAACAGTGCGGAGGCACAAATAGATCATTATGGTCTGAGGAGAACGGTGCTGTTGGGAGTTACCAGGGGATCTGTCTGATGCTCAACAGTCAAAGGAAAGGTGAGACAGATATACGGTCAGACAGTTACTGGTACCATAGGAACTGGATCTATTTGCTTGCTGCTAACGCTGGGGACAGATCCCTTATGGGAGTGTCCCGAGTGTTATATGTCAATTCCTAATTCAGCATACAAAATTCAAGTTCTGCTGTAACTTTTCTCATTATTTGTTCCAAGAATATGGATTTTCTCATTAAAATGGCATTTTTGTAACTGATCTTGCTTATATTAACATCGTAGTTGTAGTGACGACTGTCACCAGTTGCAAATAACAATGCACAAGTGTTACAGTGATGTGTTCGGTGAAGAAAAAAACAACATGAACATTAGATATAGATTGTGAGTTTAAAGTTTGAAGTCTTGAAATTCACTTACAAAGATGAATAGGAAAAATATGATAGGAGAAGAAAACCGAGAATTATGACAAAATCTGGGACTGAAGAAAACATTAGTGAATTAGACTTGAGTTCAACATTTGACCTACTTGGGCCAAGTAACGGGACATATCATGTTTTGTTAAAGGGTGTTGGGTACATAGGTAGAGCAAGTGTATATAAGCTTGCTAGTGGGCGGACCTCATCAAGAGAATGGCTGCACTGTGTAGCATATGAATGCACTATGAGGACAGACAGTGTCAGATTCACTGGAGGTGATCTTCACAGACTGACTAATTGATACTTGTAGTAGTTGATTTTGATAACTGATTGATTACTAAAACTGATTGGCCCTGATCGAGCCTGTCCATCATCTCTCTCTGTAGACATGCCATCTGTAGAATTACTTAGCTCTGAGGACAGCAGTCCACCAGCTCCAGAAGACAGAAGCCAGTGGGTGATCTTACAGAGCTCTCAGGATGAACTGTTGAAAGCTGAAGCAGCTCTGCAAGGTAGGACACACAAACAAACTTGCAATAGAAAACCATGGATGGGGTTATGTCTACCCTGCCTCAGCCTAACACTGTTTATTATGTCAGCCTCTGTTGGGGGATTCTACTCACCTTTTTTTAAAATACTGAAATCAAAAGTTCATCAACTCTGTCTTTTACCTTCAGTGTTAATTCAAATATCCCATGTCTTGATATTATCTTCCCACTTGTATCATTATTTCTCTTTTTTTGCCCAGCTTGCTTTTTCCAATATTATAGTTAGATATTGATACACGACTCAAAAGGAACGCGTCTCAAAAGAGGCTGCTCTTGGATGGCAAAGGCTGAGGACTTAATCCAGCAGGTATGTGACCTAGACGTGATCAGTCACGGAAAAGAATGCGCGAATACACCAGTAGACATGCATGGCATCTCTAAGGTTTTCATCACACTCGGAAGGTACTGCAGGGATCAAATTCCTGCGGCCGTAGACACAGAAGTAAGGGAACTGATAGATCAGCATTCAGACCCAGAAGATACCATCATCTACACAGATGGATCCATGAAGCGCGGATCAAGGTCAGCATAAGCATACACAGCGCAAAGAAAGGGGAAAACAGTACATAAGGACAGCGGCGCTTACCAGACAACCACGTCAAGCATGACCATGGAAACAGCCGCTGCTTCTAGAGCTTTAGCATGGGTATCAGGACAAACCGCCACACAGGTAGTAATTGTCTCAAACTCAATGAAAATGCTTCAGAAGATAGCAACAGGCAGTATGCGCTCTGAATGGATAGAAAGCATTCGGAAATCGCAGTTAACCTCCGTAACCTGGATCTACACACCGGGTCATGTAGGCGTGAAGGGAAATGAGCGAGCAGACCAACTGGCAAGCACCGCACTAATGATTGTGGGAAAAAGTGGAGAATGAGGAATCCCTGACACTAACACTGTTGCGTGACATGGGAGTTAAGCATGGTGATGCACGTCTTTGCCGTCTTCGAGGCCGAGAAAGGAGACAATATAACCATCTTCTTATGGGGACAATTAGTAGAAGTACTTTGGAGTGGCTGCTGCTTCGGAGAACTGAGCACGCATGGGTATGCCCAATGTGCAGTGACATCAATTGTGATAACAAAACATAAAAAAACATCTTAGTAGGGAGTCGGCAGTCCGAAACCCAAGTTCAAGGTGTCTCCTTTGTGCCAAAGAACTGCATGGCTGTTGGGTGAACAGTCGTTAACGAAGGCAGGCAGGTCGTTGTAGGGGTGAGGCCTGGTGGTGGATGTAATGTCCTAAGTCCCTTTCCCAGCTAATAATGAGGGTTCTGCTGGGGTGACCGTTTATTACCCCTCATATAATGCTTCAGGTCAAAATGGACGCTAGGCACGGCCACCTTTTTTTTTTTTTTAAAGCCGTGGCAAATGTTTGTTTTTTCTGCCAGACTGTAGCCGTTGCATTTTTGCTCCATTTGTAGACTGGAAGGATGTAGTTTCGTCGCCCAGCTTCTGAGTTGAGTGCATGGCGTGACACTGTGAGCTGCATTTGTTTTTCGTTGACACAGGAGCGGAGCAACTGTGGGGTGACCCGCTTGCTATGAAGCTGAAACTAGGATTACCAGATTACCAGCAATAAGGGAGGTCATGGATAGACCAGGAATACTAGTTTTTCATTATGCAGAGGATACAGTATTATAAGTTGAAAATGCTGAAGACCTACAACAACTGTAGACACTGTGCTACTAGAGGGTGCAAAAAAAAAGAGCTTTCCTTGAATGCAAAGAAAACAGAAACACTGGTTATATCAAAGAAGAAGTTAACTCCAAAATGTGACATAACAATAGAATAGAAAGTGCTTAACCAAGTCAGAAAAATAAAGTTTATGGGGACATTTATAACATTAGATGGACGATGTGTGACAGAAATTAAGAGAAGAACTACCCAGGCAAAGACAGCACTTGAGAAGATAAAAAGTATCTTATGTAATAAATCACTCTTGTTAGACATAAGAAAACAAGTACTGAAATGTTACATCACATCTGTTCTGTTGTGTGGCAGTGAATCTTAGAATGTGAGCAAAGAAATTACAAAGAGTTTAGAGGTGACTGAGATGTTGTTCCTAAGAGATCTGGTTCTTAAAAATATTGTTGAGAATACCTTGGATTGCCAGATTAACCAACATTGAATGCCTAGAAAAGGCTAATGAAAGTTGAACATTGTATACAACAATGAGAGGGAAGCAAACAAAGTTCTTTGGTCATGTGATTAGAGAAGGAGTTCTGGAAAATATCGTGAAGATTGGAAAGATCACTGGTAGAAGATGCAGAGGCAGACCAAGAGATTGTGGATGGCTTAAGACAGTGACATGGGGGAATAATATCAGTGGAACTAATCAAGAACACCAAAGGCTGAGATCTATGGAGGTTCATGAATGCCTAAGTCAGCTGGCAAGGCACTTGATGATATATATATATATATATATAATATTTTATTTTGTATAGTATTTTATTCTTGTTATATTAATTAGATGATATTTGTATATAATACTGTACTTCCCCAAGTATAAGACAATCCAGTGTGTAAGACGCACCTTGATTTGGGGACCGGAAATTTTGAAAAAATAACAATATCATAACATAAAGTTTTAGATCTCGTGTTTATTCATCATGTAATCCAGAAAACTCATCACAGTCAAAACTCTCAGCCATATGATAGTTTTTTAGCGTGTCCTCCTCTGTATTTGATGACAAATCACTGTCTTCATATATTCTCAGCTCCATCTGTGGCTTTTGAAATGCCACACTTCTTGAATATCACGAAAAGATATAACCCAGACAAACAATAGACCAGTGAGCTCTACAATATAACAGACACAAACGGAAAGTGAATGTTGCGGCTACAAAACCTTTATCAGCACATTACATAAATCAACAAAACCACATGTACTCTCTTCTTGAATGTTGACAACAGTCTCAATCTTCACATTATCTCAGCATCTTTCCAGCCAGACAGTCTCAATCTTAACTTTATTCCAGCATCTTTCCAGCCAGACAGTCTCAATCTTCACTTAATCCCAGCATTGTTGCAGCTAGTCAGTCTCAATCTTTATGTTATTCCAGCATCTTTCCAGCCAGACAGTCTCAATCTTCACTTAATCCCAGCATTGTTGCAGCTAGTCAGTCTCAATCTTTATGTTATTCCAGCATCTTTCCAGCCAGACAGTCTCAATCTTCACTTTATCCCAGCATTGTTGCAGCTAGACAGTCTCAATCTTTATGTTATTCCAGCATCTTTCCAGCCAGACACAATCTTCTCCTATAATTGACTTCATACAAAGGTTCCATTCATCTCTCATGATCACTTTGATGTTGACATCAGCTGGTTGAATCGTCGTGGTTGGTTTACTATTCTCTTTGGTTACCTGTATAGTGTCTATGTCTGGCAGTACCACTTTTGTCCTGCAGTTCTTGGAGTCCTGTTAATGTTGCAGATTTGCCATCATCTCCTGAATCATCTACTTGTCCTGCCTCCTTGAGAACATAGGGAACATTGGACTGGTCCATTGTTTCTGCTACAAATGAAATAATTCCTGTCAGACGAGATTTCCTCAGAGACTCCAACTGTTTTCTTTGAACCGATTCTGTCTTGATCTCCTTAAGCTTGCTGGTAGAATCACTTAGAAAGAACAGATGAAAAAATATGTCTCCCTAACCAAATCATTGCTTTTGTTACCACATCAGGTGGCGAACGAAAGAAGAAGAAGATTACCACATCAGATAATGTTTATAAGGAACAAAATAGGATGAAGAAAATGTGATGATTATGACACCTGATAATATTAAAAATATTGCTGTTTATAATGTTAAGCATATCGCCGCCAGTACCAGTGTTCAAAGTAAAGTATTACTGTTCGTGACTGTGACTGATGTGATCTCATGATGTTTGCAGATGTGCTAGCAACCTGTTGGACTCTCAGTCAGCAGGCAAGTCAACTGGTGACTGAAGCTGAAGCCTACACAGCATCCATTACTGAATCCTAGCAACATCATAGAGATGTGTGTCATCACCCTTCACTTGTGATCATTTTCACCATCACCACGCACCAATGATTATATTTATCCTTTGCATCCGTATTTGTCTACAGTGAAAGTCTCTTGAAATAACCCATAAAGGACTTCTGTTAGATAGGGGCAGTTCCCATTCTTAGGGTGCGTCATGAGATGGGCAAGATAGGGGCAGTTCCCATTCTTGGGGTACATCATGAGATGGGCAAGATAGGGGCAGTTCCCATTCTTGGGGTGCGTCATGAGATAGGCAAGATAGGGGCAGTTCCCATTCTTAGAGTGCATCATGAGATAGGCAAGATAGGGGCAGTTCCCATTCTTGGGGTGCATCATGAGATGGGCAAGATAGGGGCAGTTCCCATTCTTAGGGTGCGTCATGAGATGGGCATGATAGGGGCAGTTCCCATTCTTGGGGTGCATCATGAGATGGGCAAGATAGGGGCAGTTCCCATTCTTGGGGTGCATCATGAGATGGGCAAGATAGGGGCAGTTCCCATTCTTGGGGTGCGTCATGAGATGGGCAAGATAGGGGCAGTTCCCATCCTTAGAGTACATCATGAGATGGGCAAGATAGGGGCAGTTCCCATTCTTGGGGTGTGTCATGAGATGGGCAAGATAGTGGCAGTTCTCATTCTTGGGGTGCATCATGAGATGGGCAAGATAGGGGCAGTTCCCATTCTTAGGGTACATCATGAGATAGGCAAGATAGGGGCAGTTCCCATTCTTGGGGTGCGTCATGAGATGGGCAAGATAGGGGCAGTTCCCATTCTTGGGGTGCATCATGAGATGGGCAAGATAGTGGCAGTTCCCATTCTTGGGGTGCATCATGAGATGGGCAAGATAGGGGCAGTTCCCATTCTTAGGGTGCATCATGAGATGGGCAAGATAGGGGCAGTTCCCATTCTTGGGGTGCATCATGAGATGGGCAAACAGTGAAGTATGTTTTTGACTGTGG